GCCTTAGTAAAGTAATATATGGCGGATTGATTGACGTCATCAATGCTTCATTAGTATTCATATTGTATAGCATGCATAATCTGGAGATTCTTGTCCAATTGCTGTAATCACCTGTCTTTTCCTATTTGGTATTTGGCATGTATACCGAATTTCCATTCTGTTCGGTTCGATTCAATCAGTTTACCGATTAAGTGAACAACCCTAATTCAACTTGATATTAGAGTTAGAACAAATGAAATGTAACGTGTTTGTATTGAAATTCAAACAATCATTTTATTAAATTTATTGTATCTTGTATTTATGAGATTCGAACTTAAACAATGGTCAACTAGACTGTACCGTAAATTATACGATGGTTAATTGAACTAAAATAAGGTATTTTGGTCATAACTCTCATACGAATCCGATTATACTAATTCGAGTTCTATTAAATGTCGAGTTAAATATTCTATTTCCTTCAAGGAAATAATTAATTTGGAACAATATGAGTATATATATTGATTGTTGAAGATCAATTGTCCGTGTGATTTGATTGTTGGTCAACTGCCAGAGTTGACCAATTTGTCAAGTTCGAACTAGTAGTTCGAACTTTCGGTTGGGGGATTCAATACAGTTTTTATTTTCTGTAGTCAACATTAGTTGATAGTCGATAATCAACGCCTCAGATAAATTGAATGTTGATCAACAGTCCTAGAGATCGACGGGTGACTAACCTACGCCAAAATCGTGCTTGGTCGAACCATTTTAGAGTCGGAATTCTTAATTACTCAAAAATCAGAAGTATAAAAAGTAGTTATCTTATATGTTCATCATATTTTGTATTAAAAATTCTTAATTTTGAACCTTGAAATCATAGCCATTGCAATGGAATATAATTTAGAGTAGTGTAAAATGAATGCAATAAAATACCATCCTAGCTTCATCTTCTAGACAATGAATTCATTTAATATTTTTGTAGTACATCTTTACATTGATATGTCATAAGATACACTTTGAAGTAAATATTTACGTACATTTGTGTGTGGGTTTTCGACCAATAACAACAAAATTCGGATGAATCAATTAGAAAAAAATACTAGCAGTGTTGAAAGTTTAAGTTTACAGGAACTGAATGCATTAAAACATTTATGAGAAGGGCTGATAATACTAATTATACACAATCTTTTTAAATCATTAGATAAAAAATCGGGATTCGAAAATTTTTGGGGAAGGGGAGGGGGAATGGCCCCCTCTAACCCTACACTAACTCCCCCATTAAAAAGAAAGGTATAATCACACATGTGGAACAATTACTCTTAAATGTATCTTTCATCCTAATTAATTGCATGAAGCAATAAAGGAGACATTTCAAATTTAGTAGTTGTGCATTGAATTACTTGGCCAATAATAAGTCACACTCACACCAAATAATAATTAATGGTCTTATTAATATCTTTGTTTCGTTTTAGGGAGAACTTTTTAACAATTAATTAAACACACAAACCCTTCAAACACAAGGACCTTTATATTTTTATTTAAGAAAAATTCTATATGCGTAAATTAAAATATTTGTTACTTCATTCGTTCCATAATATTTATTATTTAAAAATAAAATTGTGGTCCATATTTTCTGTCATTTTACTATTTTTACACTGCATTAGTTACATATTTTCAATTTTGAGCTTATTAATTCTTCAGCACTATCCCTGCATTAATTAGTAAATAAACATATTTATTAAGAATCTTAAGACTTGTGCAAATGTGCAAGATGAGAATTAAGGAACCAGTAATTTAACGCCTGAGAGCTAATTACATATGAAAAAAACGACATCCCCAATCGTCTATCTTAATTGATGT